ATTACAAAGATGCTATTTCAGCCCAGAATGCAAAGAGGTCCAAGCATTATCTGACAGGAGGAAGAATGGAAAACACAATGGCCCTATAGGTGATTTGAAGCTTCCATGAAGCCGTAAGTCACTGACTTCCATGCCTCCACATTGCTCCCTATAGGCCACTGAAGAGTAATGCTGCTACCTGCCTCCACGATTACCTTCCCTCACACAACCTATGTCCACCACTCTAGTTAGGGTCGGCCCAAGACATTTCAACACCTGAGCAAACCACAAAATGGTGCCCCCTTCCCCACCATAAAAGAAGGGGTGAGTGGAGATGTATGTCAGGAACAAGGGGAGAATAAAGATCTACACTGGGATGTGCTGCCCCTGTGGATCCTACCACCCGAGGCAGTTGCTTCATCTTGCCACATAGGTGGTAATATAAATATAATATGCTCCAAGACTCTCACCTAGCGCTCCAGGCCAGAGGAGGATAATTTTCTTCAGTTTGAGGGCCACATTTCCACAGTGGACTTCAAGTTGCTAGCTGTTTCTATTCCAGTTCATTACCCACTTGGAAGAGGGCAGTTTTCTGAGGCCGCAATGGAGGCTGAGAAGCAAGCCACATTTACCTCTACTGCCCCATGGTAGACACAGTTATGTACTCTCACTTATGTTTGGTCTTGTTCCTCACAAGATTTGCCCCAACTGTACTCCAGTCATCATCTGCTTCACCACCCAGAAGGTCAGTTAGAAGCAATTGTGCCAATGGGCCTGTCCACAGTGAGGCAAGGATCTTGACCAGAGCTGGTTAATGGGTTCTGCCAGTCTTGCAGGAGGAGTCAGTAGCAGCCAATCCCAACCAGGGAAGACAACTGTACCAATCTTGTGAGGTACAGTATCCCATGTGCTTTGTTTGTTCAGTTTTTTAAAAATTCGCCCATTAGACACAGAGTGCAAATCAGAAAGTGAGAACATCTCTGGATTAGCGGCTCTCTGCCCAAACTGCTTAAAGTATGCAGTTATAAGATAACCTGGCAGGCCTTACATAAATATTAGCCGGTGCAGTCTGTCCTTAGGCTGCCGTCCTCCTGTGTTGAAATCATGTCAGCTGCTATCGATTGCAAAGTTCATGATCAATGACTCTGCTCAGAACCTGTAAACATGGGTTGAGCAATCTAGCATTTAAAATAATTATACCTGCCACCATACCTTGTCATTATGAAATCTTCTCAGGTGCCTGATTCTTCTAGATGCTAGTGCAATGGCTTCTTTGCCCTTCTGGAATGTTCCTTGCCAGTATGCTGTTCAAACGCGCGCGCACACGAGGAGAACTACTGAATCAGACTGAGGGTCCCTCTCATCAAGTATCCTCCTTCTTACAGTGGCCTGCCAGTAGCCTCTAGGGCACCCACAAACAGACATGAAGAGGAATACTACCTGGGAGGGCTTGTTTACTGTGGTGGGTAATAGCCACCAAGAACCACGTCCTCCATGAATTTTGCAATAATTATGTTGCTTTTAATCCCTATAACCTGTCCAGAGAACTTAAGTTATATATAACCTATATAAACTATGTAAATAAGTAGCATTTGTCTATTTCCACCCCCCTTTAAAGCCAGCTAGGGTTACCGGCCATCAGCTCATATTGCAGCAAGGCATTCCATAAATTAATTGGGCATGGTGGGCAATATGAGTGTTGGCGTTTGGCATATAGGTTGCAAGGAAATGTAGAAACAAATAGTCTGGTGGGACTGGCGGTTAAAAGAATAAACTGAAGGCTTATTGCTCCTGGCAAGCAAAGCCATTCCGAGTACAAGCTTCTATATGGCCATGATGGGGTTATGAGGTTAGCAAAAGGGAGGGGAGAAGGAAGAGGAGAAACAGACTGTACATGACAGCAGGTGGTTACTTAACAAGGAATCAGCAAGGGAAGAATAGGTTGGCTTTCTGTCTGTCGCCCCCAACTGGTTGCAAGTGTTGTTGCTTTGCTCCTAAGAGAAAGAGAAAAATGTCTTCCTCTGCATTTTCTCAGCAAAAAAAAAGGATGTTTCTATAGCCTTTTACCACACCCCTCCTATACTGGAAACTGTGATGCCATTCACATGATGATGACCCTTTCTTCGACCTTACTGTAACACGGTTGGCCGTGCCAGGTTAAGATACCCTCCACTGCACTGGGAGTTACTGTGGCATTCTACGCAGCCCCAACTGCCCAAGTCAAAAGCACAATCTGACACAAGAATGATGATACGCCACTCCTGCCAGGGGCCCTGGCAACCAAATTGCAGCCTTCCAGTAACAATATAATTCAACTGAGAATGCCCCACCCAGTCAGGAAGGGCATGGACGGCATCAATCAAAACACAGCAATGTCAAGATTGGAACACTGAGCTCACTCAACCTATTCACTGGGACTCTGCAAGCGCTTTATGGCCCAGGACATTTCACCGCTTGAGGCAAAACAGAAAATGCTGCCCCCCCTCCCGCCCCCACCTTCTATTCTGCAGACTGACCCACCCCCCACCCATGCTGAAGGCGGCAGGGGAGTAAAATGGAACCAGTAATAATATAACAGGCCTTTAATAATTGGCAGCAAAATTTTATCAAGACATAGCATGTAAGGAAAAGTGGGTCAGCGGCGGAGCATATGCCCGTGCTCAGGGGCGCCGACTTATAAAAAATATTGGGGGGGCCCATGCCGGGGAGGGTGGAGCCAACTAGGCTGGCGGGGGGCGGGCGCGGCCGGTGCAGAGAAAGCCGGAGCGGCGACTGCGCTTTGAACCCGCTGTCAGTCAGCCAGGGCTGAAAGGCAGACTTTCTCCCTCGGCTCGTCGTTTGCCCGGCCGCCCGTGCGGGATCCCACCGGGGAGGCGAAGTGCTGAATGCCATTACAGTTTTATTTTGGGCGCCTCCGATCTCCTCCTCCTGCTTTTCCCGTGCTCCATCCCCTCGGCGACTTCACGCTTCCAGCAGAGAAGCTGCGCGCAGCTCCGGGCGGCGGATGGGAAGACCCCCTCGCGGGTTTTTCACGCCTGGAGAGCGCCGCTTCGGAGGCCCCATGGAGTCGGCGCCTATGCCCGTGCTGCTGAGGGCGGGCATGCTCCTGAGGGGGGCATGGCGTAGAGGGTGCCCTCCCAGGCGTGAGATAGCCACTTGGGTGCCTGGAGCGGCGTGTGTGCCCTGCAGCTGGCGGCAGAGCGAGCCACCCATGTCAGACATTTGGCGTGCTGCCCGTCCGCAACATCTAAGGCTCCCCCAAGCTGTCAAAACAAAGGGGGAAGGGGGAAATGTCACTGGCAAAGGGGTGCAGCTCCCCCCTTACCCCAATGGCTGGGGGTAGGCCTGAGAGTTGTGGGCGGGCGGCTCGCCAAATGCCACCCCCCCTCAGTGAGGGCACCCAGGGCGGTCCGCCCCCACTGCCCCCCTTCCTACGCCCCTGGATGGGGTTCCCAAGCAATTTCCTATTTGTGGGATCACAGAATAGAATTGTAGAGTTGGAAGGGACCCCAAAGGTCCTCTAGTCCAGCCCCCCGCAATGAAGGAATCTCAGCTAAAGCTTCTATGGCAGACAGCCATCCAACCTCTGCTTAAAAACCTCCCAGGATGGAGAGTCCACAGGACCTGCATAGCTTCAGCAAAACTGTCATTCCCCAGAGGTCCATCTTATTCATGATGAGCTCAACATTAAAGCATTTACCTGGGGTGTAGCCACCACCTGATTCAGCACTTAGATGTAACTGTACTCTCCACAGGTATCCAAAAATAGAGGGTTATGGCGAAACCTGCAGACATCTTAAGTTTCATCTTAAGGACAGATAAGTGTGAGAGCTCTGACCTCACTTTATTGACATTCTGAGCAGGCCCACTGAAACGAAACCTGGAAAGTTCCAAAATGTGAGGTAATAAAATAAAAAAAGTGTGTTTGAATGCTCAGTATTAAGTGTCATTTGGTTTCCAGCAAAGAGCCAATGACCAGGAACAAAGAGCACAGAAGCCTGAAGATGAAACCCTTTTAAAGGGTAGCCATTTTTAGCCATACTGTATAGTCATAGTTTCCTGCCTTGACAACCTGTGAGGAAAGGTGAATTAGGAATATAAATAAATAAATAGATGATAGATAGATAGATAGATAGATAGATAGATAGATAGATAGATGATAGATAGTTGCACAAACCTGGCTGTCCCAAGACTTTTTGCTCCCTGAGGCAAAGGACAAGATGGCGTCCCCACCAAACCATTCCTGACAGGATTGTTGATTTGATCCTACTTCCACGCTGCGAATGGGATAGCATCGTCCGCTATACCTGAGGGCAGCAGGGTAGTTTAAAGGGGTACATGCCAGGCCATGTGCCACACACAGCTCTGGTCTCCAACAGAGGGGAATAGTTGTGGGCTTATGGCCACTGGCCCCCTCATGCGCCACAGCATCTGCCGCCTGAGGTAATTGCCTCAGTCTGCCTAATGGTAGGACCAGCCCTGTGCCCAATTCACTTTTGGTTGTGAGTAGGGGCCACAAATATTGACTACGGTTAAGTCAAAACATGATGGCAAGGTTACTATATTTTCTGTTGTGAGTCGCCCTGTGATCTTTGGAATTAAGGGTGGCATGATAAACAAACAAACAAACAAACAAACAAACAAACAAAGTGCTTGTATGCCTTTGGAAACTGTTCAAGGAAAGCAGTTCTCCTTCTTCTGTGGCGATCACAGTTACCTCAGAATAGAAGCCACTAGGCTGCTCATTAGGAGCACCCATTTTGAATGCATCTCACCAGAGTTTAAATGGTTGTACTGCCTTCTTGCCTGCTCCCCGTCACAATTCAAAGTGTTGCTGCTCATTTTTAAATCCCTGCATGGCTTTTGGACCTGGGTACCTGAGGGATGCACACATTTCAAACTCAATACTGGGCTAGGTTCAAGGTTCTTGTATGACTATATGAAGCCCTGACCCCTTTATATATCCCAGCTCAATTACTGAGATAATCTGGAGGAGCTCCGTCAGTTATACACGTACATACCGTGCCAATTTTTCGGATCGGAAACCCGGGTGAGTCACGTGACCCACACCACAATTTCACCCCGGGAAAAAAGTGGACAAGAGCGCAACACCCAAAATGGCTGCCTTGATCTCATGTGAAAAAAATTAGTTGTCATTTTTCCCCCCCAGGACACTTGACAGGTATGTACATATTTCTGGCCTGATCCATCAGGCCTCTTACGTACTAAGCACAGTCATCCACATTATTGGTATTCAGGCATCTCTTGAAGAGCAACAGGCCTATTCATTTGTTTTAACTCAAAAGATGAGCCAGCTCTTTTTAATGATTATTTTGTTTTTATGGTGTTTTATACTTGTCTTTTATTCTGCCTGTTGATCACCGCCTTGATATATGAGTGGGCAGCTTATATATACATAATGTGTGTGTGTGTGTGTGTGTGTGTGTGTGTGTGTGTATGACATGTTAATTTTTTAAAATGCTACTGTTTTATTTATTTGCGGCTCTTCTTTTATTAAAGGTAAGGTAAAGGTACCCCTGCCCGTACGGGCCAGTCTTGACAGACTCTGGGGTTGTGCGCCCATCTCACTCAAGAGGCCGGGGGCCAGCGCTGTCCGCAGACACTTCCGGGTCACGTGGCCAGCGTGACAAAGCTGCATCTGGTGAGCCAGCGCAGCACACGGAAACGCCGTTTACCTTCCCGCCAGTAAGCGGTCCCTATTTATCTACTTGCACCCGGAGGTGCTTTCGAACTGCTAGGTTGGCAGGCACTGGGACCAAGCAACGGGAGTGCACCCCGCCGCGGGGATTTGAACCGCCAACCTTTCGATCGGCAAGCCCTAGGTGCTGAGGCTTTTACCCACAGCACCACCCGCGTCCCCTTCTTTTATTACCATTGCTTAATTGCTTTTTTGCTTTGATTTTATAGCTGTAAGCTGCCCTGTTTTTTGTTTTTCTTTTTACACTGAAGGGCAATGGATAGCTAAAAATCATCCATTGCCCTATCTTAATTCCTCTATCCTCCCCGCAGGAGGAAATGCATCTGATCTGAAGACTAATTTAACTGGCGCTATTTGCATAGTCAGTAAGACATTGTGGTATGCTAATAATGCTTCCCAGAATTGCCAGGCTGTCATACAGTATCTCTTTAGGAAAGGTGGAATTATGTGTAACATCCCACACTGTAAATCTCTGGTACACGTTTTGATTCTTATCTCCCAGCCTTGGAATTCCTCCAGCAATCCATTTGCCCAAGGAACAAAAGGAAGCTCCCACCTTTGCATATTTGCATGCTCATCATTCCAGGTATGAATGAAATCTCCACCTGCTGAGAAATTCCCACATCATTCCACGAGTTCCAGGAAATGAAAACACCCAGTCTTCCTTGGTTCACATTTGCATGATCACTATCCCTAGAATAATAGGTATTGCGAGAAGAGCTCAGCATTTTCTCACTCTCTCATTCTAGTTCTACAAAGCAACAACAAGAAGATCTGCAGCAGAATAACCCCACGTGAAATAAAGCTATCATTGATAATAATAATAATAATAATAATAATAATAATAATAATAATAATAATAATAATTTATTATTTATACCCTGCCCATCTGCCTGAGTTTCCCCAGCCACTCTGGGCAGCTCCCAATCAAGTGTTAAAAACAGTACAGTGTTAAAAATTTCCCTGAACAGAGAAAACTTAAAATTTAAAATTCTGGTCATTTTTTTGACGAAGTTTTTTTTTGGGGGGGGGAAGGGGAGGAAATTTTAATGTTCTATAATGATGATGATGATGCCTCAAACAAGGCAAGTAAGCAAAATCCTAATTTACCATCTTTAAAGAATCCTTTTTCCCATCACAGATCTACAATTTTGCAGAGTAGTTAAACAATCAGTCCCTCTTCCCAGGGAACTCTGAGAATTGTAGCTCTGTGAGGGGAATAGGGGATCTCCTAACCTAGCAACTCTCAGCGCACTTAACAAACTACAATTCCCAGGATTCTTTGGAAGAAGGTTTACATGTACCATGGTACCTCTGGTCAAGAACTTAATTTGTTCTGGAGGTCCGTTCTGAACCTGAAACTGTTCTTAACCTGAAGCACCACTTTAGCTCATGGGGCCTCCCACTGCCACTGTGCCGCCGGAGCACAATTTCTGTTCTCATCCTGATGCAAAGTTCTTAATCCAAGGTACTATTTCTGGGTTAGCGGAGTCTGTAACCTGAAGTTTCTGTAACCTGAGGTACCACTGTATACAGTATAGTGCAGATAGGGCCACAGTCTTCACCAATAGGGTGCTCTCCAGTTATTTTACACTACGACTCCCATCAGCCCAAGCCATAAGAGCTGGTCGTCAAAAGCATCTGCAGAGGTCACCAAGCTGGTTTATCCCACTTCTCGTGCAGCATTTTCTCAAATGTTTTTGTTCAGTCTCCCCCTGCTGGTGACACAAGGTTTCCCCACCTCACTGAAGTGCTCCATTTGACTTCACTGAGGGTTAATTCAGACTTTCTCAGTTAACATGAGGGAACGCTACTCCCACAAAAATAGCAGAAGAAAAAATACGTTTGGCACCTGCGCACGGGTGGCGCTGTGGGTTAAACCACAGGGCCTAGGACTTGCCAATCAGAAGGTCGGCGGTTCGAATCCCCGCGACGGGGTGAGCTCCCATTGCTTGGTCCCTGCTCCTGCCAGTTCGAAAGCACGTCAAAGTGCAAGTAGATAAATAGGTACCGCTCCGGCGGGAAGGTAAACTGTGTTTCCGTGCGCTGCTCTGGTTCGCCGGAAGCGGCTTAGTCATGCTGGCCACATGACCCGGAAGCTGTATGCTGGTTCCCTCGGCCAATAAAGCGAGATGAGCGCTGCAACCCCATAGTCAGCCACAACTGGACCTAATGGTCGGGGTCCCTTTACCTTTACCTTTACCTGGCTGCCGGAGTTGCTGGAAGGAGGTGTACAAGGCGCCATCCAACCGTCTTAGGGACTCCACTCTGGATTTGTGTAGGAGTTACTCTTTAGCCTTTTATTTTCTTGAAGATATCCTACAAGGCAGCAGAGGTTTAGGGTCAGAGTTTTCCTTCTTCTGAATGGGCTACTTTCCAAATTGCCAAGCCCCCTATCTGCCCTCAGATGAACCAAGATATATAAATATTAGGGAACCAAAATACAATGTAGGATGAATTAATCAACCTCCTGCAGCAGTCAAACTTCTTTCCTGTAGCACCGCTGTAGAGCTTTCAATTCGTTTCCCCCTCTGCAGTAACATGGAATAAGAAATATGAGTGAGACTTTTTGACATTGAAGATATATTCATAAAAGATGTGTAGTTAGCTTTCAAGAAGGCTGTGATGCAAAATGAGCATCAGCACCGCACTCAATAAATATCAGATAATTACCTATTGGACTATTGAATTGGACTATGTCATATTACAGAAGGCATTAGGTGATATATGGCTATAGGAAAATCGTTGCATTGATAATCTGAACACGTATCAAACAAATGTACGCCTAATCCTATATATCATTAATAAACTACTTCAAACTTTGTAACAAATATATCCGCCGGCAAAAACAAATTGGAACAAACAGTACCTCTTCATGTAGCAAGTGTGATCGCATGTTATGAATGCTCACTACACACATAAAATTAGTGCACCAGGAGAACACCTTCTTACACTGAATTTTATTCATGGAGGCATCAGGTTGGAAAAGGCTTTATTTGATCATGGAAATAATTGACTCCTGGTTTTTGAAAAAAAAAATTGTTTTAAATTATTTTGTGAAGCTCAGGCATCTCCTTGCAGTCACAGTAATAAACATATCACCACAGTCGATTGCATATTTTTTCCACAATTGCAAATTGATGTACCTTATTACTAACTATTAATGCCTACATTCTTTTTTGCACAGGATTGTTCTTAACATTTTTCATCAGGGTTTTTCCTTTACCTTACTTTAGACATACTATCAAAAGAAAATATTTAGTCCACCCCTAACGCACAATGGAACACTTCTGAAGATGTGAATCTTCTGTTTACTCTTTAAGGATCACGGAATCAAGCTGTAAGGTTAACCGCCCTGTTATATGTTTGACGTATTGTTTCCATATAGAGTCCAGTGATTGACGCAAAGTAATATGTTTTATTGTCAACATGAACAAGCGTAGACCTATATAAAAAGTATCACTTTTAAAAATTGAGGCCGGGGCGTTCTCTAGCTCTTTCTGGTTTCAGAATCAGGAATATAATGCTGTCTTTGCACTAGAACATCAGCAACATTTGCTTAAAGAAAAATAAAAATGACTGCTACCTGTTTTCCTGGGTGGAGACCAGACAGGGTTAGAAGTGAAGTCCAGGGGAGGTAATGGCTGGATCTTGTAGAATCTGTCAGGGCATGGATAGAATCATGATCTAGGCCTGAATCTGGTAGAATGTGGGTAAATCCTGTGAGAGATTGTGGGTGTCTTGTGTCAGGAGCTTGGTTCAGGAGTGGGGACAACGACAAAACTCTCCATCAAGTTTGTTCTAGTTGGGGGCTCTTGGAACCCCAATACCATGCTGGTGTCTTAGGTGGCCATACCCAAAACTCAACTAGGAATGTAAATGCTGCACCTCACAGTCTCTGGGGTCAGTTGCTGGGAGAGGGTGCAGAGGAAAGTGCCATTCTGTTGACCAGATAACAGCAGAAACTCCTAGTATTTACACCAGGCCTGGCCAATCCAAAGGCCTCAAACTGCCAACAAATTACAGTGGCTAATATTGCACATGCCATCTTGAGCATACACAGTTCCACATGAAGCTACGTCCTAACCTCAAGCTTTAAGATTCCAGTTTTTCAGGACTTAGAGTACCTAACACACTAATGCTTAGATGAATGTAGTTTGACTGGTTGGGCCAGTGAAGGACCTGAAATTGTAATTATGGTTCTTAATATCATTTTCTTTCTTAATGCATTGCTTCAGTTTGGTCCCCCGTGCTGCATGTTGCTAGGACCTCGGTGAGCATTTGACCCCATCTGTAGTACATACAGTCCAAGAGCTCAGGCTGAGATAATTAAAGGGTAGTCATGTGCCCTCCTTTATAGAGACAAGTCCTCCAACTGAAGGTCAGTCGGAGGACTGCGATGTATTCAAAGAGCAGTCTGGTCCAAGTCCAGTCAAAACC